GAGAGAGAGAGAATGTTAATAAGTATAATACATTTAATATCTATATCGTTGTCCATTAGAGTGACACCACTGTTGGGTTATTTACCGCAAGAACTGATGGGCACCTCGTGTTACGACTACTGCCATCCCGACGACGTGTTGACACTCGCTGAGAGCCATCGCACGGGTATGTCATTCACATAACACACATCAGCCATAACTGAAATGTGGTTATAATGTTGTCATTAAATATTACGCAGCGTTGCATCAAACGGATCGCACAAAGAACTCATTGCCGTATCGGTTCCGGACCAAACTCGGCACTTACCTCTATCTGACCACTCTATGGAAGATATTCAAGAATCCGTGGACTCGCGAGTTCGAGTACATGGTAGCCGTCAACGAGAACGTGGCCACACCTGACCCGCCGGCCAATCATCACCACCACAACCATCGCAGTCATCACCACAACCGCTGTCCACCGGCGCCCCAACAGTCAATGCCCGCCACCGTTGCGCGCCATAAGACCGGTGGCGGTGGCCATCATCTGGATGTGTCCGACAACAGCGCCAGACATCACAATCATCACAAACGTCACACACACTCGTCGTCTCAATCGTCAGATGAGGGACTCATCACATCCCAGTCCTCGCCGTCTACTATTAACTCTATGTCTTCGTCGGCCACTACCGGAACCGGTGGTCAGTCGTCGTCGGATATCCCGCGGACGAGCCCTCTGTCCGCCAACTCGTCGATTGTGAAGAGATTTATCGCCAATCGTATCAAACACTCAAAGATCGGCCAACAGATCGCCGAAGAGGTGTTGGAGGCCCAGCGCAGGGCCGACGAGTTTAGCTCCTCGTCCTCCCAGTCCTCGTCCAATAGCCCGCCCTCTAGTCTCGACACCGGGAGTAGCGGTGGGGGCGGCGGTGTTGTCCGCAATAACGGATCCATTAGCTCTTCGTCGGCCATCGGTTCTCTTACGGGCAGTTCTCAGTCGGTATCGTCGGCCACAGCCATGACATCCGTGTCGGCCAAACAGTTATCATCGGTCGACGGCGACGACAATGGCTACGACCTGACCCGCGGTTGCGATCCGAGCTTCAAAACAATGAGCGGCGCTTCCGGTCAGAGCCCCTCCGAGAGTGGCGTTTGTTTTGACACCCTTTCCCTGCCATCCGTCCAAAGTATGTCCAACAGTTCGCTAACAGATATCTCACAGTTAGAGCCCATCACCGACTTTGGCGGCACCGGTGGTGCCAGTAATGGCCGATATTTAACTTTAGTTGATAGACATGTCGGTGACTGTAATAATCATGATGGTAACAATAATGGCGGTAATGTTTTTTCTATGGATATGACTAGCAATGCGAGAATGCATTATAATAGGGTTGCCACCAATAATGGTCATTCAGACATCGATGGTTTAGTTGATAATCGTATACAACAACAACAGCCACAGCAACACAATGTGGCCAACGATGAGATCAATGACGCGGCTATGAATCTAATCGTATGTATTATTGTGTGAATTATATTAATATATGTTAATTTAAAATCTAAATGTTATTATTGTAAGATAGATTAACACCTTATTTTATTTTTAAGATTATTACCAAATGCATTATTTAATTATAATTATTTGTAATATATTTATCCAGATGTCTATTTTGGAGTCGGAGTCCGGAGAACTAGGTGGACAGGTTGATTTGACCAGTATGCCATGGCCTATGTATTAATATGGTTAGTAACATGGCTTAGGAATTGTTAAATAGATAATTAATATAAAATTCATTAATTAATTATATTAATATTGTATTAAATAAATTATTTAATGTAGTGATAAGTTGATGTTTTAATTAAATTAATATACCAACATAATGTTTATGTATTAACTTGTTTATTTAGATTGTTAAAATATATAGATGTTAATGTTGATTATATTTACCTTTTTACCAACAAGCATTAATATTTAATCTATAAATCTGAATGAATATTTATAACCAATATTGTAAATACTAAATATAAATACCAACACAATGTACTAAATATAAATAAATTGAATATAATTGTTCCTATTAATGTTTATAATGTAAATTTAATAAAAAAATTATTGCATTCTTACCTATAGACGGATAAAACATTGTTATTTAATTTTGATGCAACTTGGTGATGCAAAGCAAATACAAGTGATATGTTTTAATATTGTAATTAAATGCTGAATTAAGAAATATATTATTTGAAAAAACAATGTTGAAGTATTACAATTGCCATGATACAAATAATGCACACATTTGAATGGTTTAATACATGTACAGTAAGTTTATGGAATTAATTGTGATAAATTATATTATGCTTTTAAAATGATGTATGATTGCTTAATCAATTCAAACTAATCATACCAATCACGATCATAAAGGGCTATTTGAGTGATTTTAATAAAGAATATTGACAAAATAGCGATCAGCTGTTGGTATATAATAATGCTTTTAATAATTACAAAAAAATAATGTATTGATTGTATACTCACTTCATAACAGCGCCAATAATTTATAGTAAAGAATATATAACACGAAAATCCAAACTTTTTCTCAGACATCCTTTCCATTAATGTTAATAACTTATGGCAAATATATATAAATTTAATAAATAATAATAAACTACAATTATAATGTTAAACATATATTAATACATACTTTAAGCTGTATTTTGAAGCCAATAACAGCAATAAATTTATTTGATTTAAAAAGTGTATTATAATATTTTTGAACAATTTTATACGTGTTTTTTGCCCTATAATTAATTGCCGACGCGTTTAATATAATGAATAGGAATAGAGAAATATATATAATACAGGCGTAAATCATAATGAATTTTAAAATAGGTATATAATCGTAAAATAGCGAAAGCAAAATAAATAAAATGATTATTAAACCAAGAATAAACCAATATAAAAACATAAATTTAGACCAGTAACTAGTGTTGTATTCATTGACTTCATTGTATAAATCAGTGATATCTTTAACGATATTCATTGAATTTTTAAACAATCGTTTAGTAATTATATTATTGTATTTCGTATTTAATGCATTGATTTTAATTGTAATGTATAGACAAATGATATAAAAATATAATATTTGATAATATAATATATTTATGAAACAACGGACCCAAAGGCCATATATTATTGCGTTAGGAATTCCGTAAAATATTGTATTAAATAGTGTTGTATTGACTGCATATATGGATGTATTAATGGTTGGAAAACATATTGATAGACAAATGTTATGATAATATAAAAAATTAGCCAAATATTTGCATTGTTTGACAAATTTTCTAATGTCTAACGTATCGATCAGACCAATAGATTTGGGCGAACGTAAACCCGAAAGCATTTCAAATATTTCCAAATGTCTTAACTTAACGCCCTTTCTATACATATAGTAATTGATTGCTTGTAATGAAAGCACCCAAATGCTACTCAATACAAATAACATGGGAAAGTGAACGGGTAATCCATACCAGTATCTATAATCCCCGAGTATTATATGAATGAATTCATTGTCACCACTAATTGTAACAATTAATATATTTATTATGAGAAATACGATGAATGTAATGAAAGCAAACAATGGACTATTAAACCATTTTCTAGGTTTCTGCAATTCATATGATGTATAACTCAAACCAATTTTATAGAAAATATTATTAAAATCGTTAATAACTAGGTTATTTGGTAACAGACTGTTTATATTTATTATGACCATAATTTACTATTATGCTTCAAACTTATTTACTTTACAAATAAGATTACTAAACATGTGGTCATTACTAAACGCATATTTAGATGTTTTAAAAATATTTTACAGCAATTTTTATTACAAACTTTTAGTATTCTTGATTATTATGCAATTTTTGACTAATTATGACATTAACTAACAGCTTTTTGATACCAATTATAATTATCTTTAGTTTATAAAAGTATGAATTAACTTATTTTTAAAGTTTAAAATATGGTTTAAGTATATAATCATAATTATGAATATTACATTACTTTTAGCGTAGCAATTTTATTATAGCAATTAAATATATGGAAATATATAATTTCAAATTATAGCATATTTTACAATTGCCATACACTTACTACTAATTTTACTGAAATACATTTTGCGTAAATAACATATTTATCCTATACCTGTAACTCATTATATTCTTAAATTAAAAATTGTAATCATGTTTAATATAAAACATAATTACATATAATTGAACTTTGTGTGTGATCTCCATTAATTTTATAATATTAAAAACATATTATTCATACAAAAACAAAGTAATTAACCATTTGTAATTAATATTGTTTCCTTATTATCCAATGATTTTGACATTGCCTTTTATATATGAAGTTTATAATTGCGAATAATTGCCAATTATAACTTTTAAATACATAATCATATTGCTAATTGTGTTTACAATATTTGTAATTATTATTAACATTTGGATTAATATAAACTAACATTTTGATATAAAAAATGAATTCTAAAATTACCTGATAAAATAATATTTTATTTAAAACAAACATTCTCGTAAAATTAATGAAAGAAATACAATGTTTTAACTAATATTATTAATGTAAATTTTTTTGCAAATATTGTATACATTTTTAACCACAATTCAGATATGAATAATGTGGTTCATAAGATCGTGTGGCCCCCTCACCGTAATTAGGAAATGCTAATTCTATTAGTAACATTAAGTCAATGGAACTATTAATTAGTCTGCCTAAACTAGTTTTTCAATCAATGCTATTATAGCATAGAATTGCTTGCAATCCTCTAATATTATTGTATAAGTTTATTTATTTAAATGTTCCATGATCATAATTACATCATGACCGTCATACTCAAATGGGCATAATCAAATTAAAATAAATTGTTAGTATTCTTATAATATAATAATTGATTTTAAATAAACTCACCATATCATTAAAGCACAGAATTTCGAAAGGTAAAGGACCTTGCCATCGCTGGGCTGACCTGACCACTATTTAATACTTGGTTGAATGTCACTGCCGTAAATACTGAAAACTTACTTTGTAATAAATATAAATATGTTATATCTTTATAATAAATATTCCTATTAATGTTTATCGTGGTTTAATACAAAATATGACATTCCTACCTAAATATTTATATAAAACATTCATATAGTAGAGTGAGAAAGTGGGTGTTATTATTACACATATTAATTATCGTAAACTCACTGATGAAGATTAAATACAATTTTTAAAATATTAATTAAATTTAAAAGTGCTTGTTAATGCACTTAATCATAAATGTCGTTTAACATCTACATTGTAAATTAAATGTTAGATTGTACAGACTAAAGGAATCCGGGACCAAAGGATCTTGTTCAAAACAATGGCGACGTTTTTGTCTCATTTTCTAAGTAGCCTGGTACTTCTTAGTATTACACTACTGTACTTTTTAGTACAATACTACTTATGAAACACCGCAAAACAAGCCATTGTTTTGCATAATAATTCCGTCTGTATATGAATTTTATATTCGGTAACAGTTTTAAGAGTGTATACGTAGAATACACAACTTTTAGTTGGGTCATTTTGACACTTAATTCACACCATGGCCACTTTGGGATGTAAAGCAAATACTGTACAATTAATATGTATTAATGTTGTACACAATTAATACGTATTAGCAAGTATTAGCAAAAATGACATTATTAGGGAAAACAATGTTGAAATGTTATCATTGTTTTTTTGGGTCAATTTAAATAATAATTGAATGTTTCAGTGCACACATTTGAATTGTTTAATATTAAGTTGATATTTAGTTTAATATATAAATTAATTATTGTATATTATTATTATATATTAAATTTATATATGAATATTAAATATTATTAAATAATTAATAGTTATGAAATTATTAATGGTAAATTATATTATGTTTTTGAAATTATATACATGTATGATTGGTTAATCAATTACAATTAATCATACCAATTCCCACCATAAAGCGCTAATTGAGTGATTTTAATAAAAAATACTGACAAAATAGCGATCAGCTGTTGGTATATAAAAATTTATTTATCAATTATTACAAATCATTTACTGATTGTATACTCACTTCATAAGAGCGCCAATAATTGATTGTAAAGAATATATAACACGAAAATCCAAACTTTTTCTCAGACATCCTTTCCATTAATGTTAATAACTATTGAAAATGTTTAAAATTAATAAATAATTAATGATAATTATACATTTAAAATCTACATACTTTAAATTGAATGTTGAAACACTGATCTACAATATATTTATTTACTCTAAAAACAG